CGTAACACGTTTCCGACTTGAAAAGTCAAGAGTGGGAGTGGAACTCCCAAAGAAGTGCTCGAGGAACGAGCACGAAGCGAGCAAAAAGCGAGGCTCCAAAAAGGGACCCAAAAGGACCAACACATGACACGTGGAAGTGTCCGAGATGGACTCGAGTTGGAGTCCGAAGTGGAGTCCGAGATGGACCCGAGTTGGAGTCCGAAGTGGAGTCCGAGATGGACTCGAGATGGAGTCCGAGGTGGACCCGAGATGGACCCGAAATGGAGTCCAAGATGGAGTCCAAGGTGGACCCGAGATGGACCCGAAATGGAGTCCGAGATGGAGTCCGAGATGGACCCGAAATGGAGTCCGAGATGGACCCGAGATGGAGTCCGAGATGGAGTCCGAGATGGAGTCCGAGGTGGACCCGAGATGGACCCGAAATGGAGTCCGAGATGGAGTCCGAGATGGACCCGAGATGGAGTCCGAGATGGAGTCCGAGATGGACCCGAGATGGACCCGAGATGGAGTCCGAGATGGAGTCCGAGATGGAGTCCGAGATGGAGTCCGAGATGGAGTCCGAAGTCGAGACCGAGACCGGGACCGAGACCGAGACCGAGACCGAGATCGGGACCGAGACCGAGACCGAGGCCGAGGCCGAGACCGAGCCCGAGCCCGAGTCCGAGTCCGAATCCGAGTCCAAGTCCGAGTCCGAGTCCGAGTCCGAGTCCGGAGCCTGAGAGGGTGAAAGCCCAAAGCGTTCGTCTCCCAGACCCTGGGGGGTTTGGTGAGCTCCAAAAGTATAGTAGGGGGAGGACTGCAGTGGAGCCAGTTTGGCCAGGAAAGGCCAGTTTGGCCCAGGAAGGCCGGACCCAGTGTTGGGTGATGAGCTGCCCACTGGGAAGTCCAAGACTAGAGTGAACACGGACCGACAAGCAGGGTAGCTTGGTGAAGTGTTCAAGAGCCGGCTCTAGTTCCCCCGGGAGATCGACTGGCCGATGCTCCCAGTCCAAGTGTGGGTGGCACTACCTACTTGGATACCAGGCGTGGCTCAACGAAACCTCGCTCTAAGCCCATGGCTAGAGCACCTAAAGGTGAAAGGCGGGGAGAGTACCCAGGTGGCTCGCGTAAGGCCACGGTGTTCCGAAATGTTGTCCCAAAGGCCTAGACTGTGGAAAGGAAGAGGAGCAGTCCTCTGGGGTAGTGACCAAGGACACAGTCGTGTGGTGAGGAAGTCCCAGAGGACCGTGGGACTTAGTGGTCGAGCCTGTGGGCCTCGATCCAGTGGCAGTGTTGGCAAACACGGCCAGGGGCAGAAAGGGACTTGGTAGGAACTGACAAAGGGACTTTGGGGAAGGCGATTCCCCCGGTTTGTGGGCATCCTAAGGATGCTAAGGAGTGGATCTAGGATGACCACTCGTGGACAGATGGCCCAGTCTTGGAGAGCCAAGACTGTGATGCAAGTGGTATTGGACTACCAGTGTGGCAAAGGTGATTGGGCATGGCCTTAGCGTAACGGGCTGCTATGTCGGTGGTACCTTTGAGTGTCGGTCATGGGATCGGACACGTGGAGCACTTGGACCAAGTGCAAATGTTGAGTGGCATGGATGCCATTCTCGGGGCTAGTAAGTCCCAAGTCCTGGATTGGACTTCTGGAGGTTGTGAATGAGACTCCTCCAAGTGGTCAGAGGTGTGGTTAAGTGACTAAAGTAGAATGGAAAATTTAGTTGCTTACAATAGCCCTCTTCGTCGGATTCTATGTAGGCTTGCTAGGCTGGGCATTTGTGGATGGATGGATCACTCCATAGCAGCAGGAGAACAGCAAAGCAGTGAAGATGTAGTGGTGATGGCAATAGCTGCAGCAGCATCAGAAATCTAGCCCCTGCGAGCGCGATCACCATTTTTTTCGCTGAACGGAATTACCGAAAGGAGCTGTCCGACTGCGTTCGGCGGCGGTCGAGATTTCAGCAGAACGTGGTCGGGACCAACCATAGCCAAGATGCGGCAAAATGCGGCGATCATCCAAGGCATCAAGCTGCCCAAGGAGCTGGCTTGGATGGCGAAGCTGTCCAGAGGTAGGATCGACGCAGACTCGCTGCTGTGCCACAAATTCATGCTCACCTTTCGCTACCATTTGGATGTGAACGATCCAAACGTCGTCGCCATCGACAAGGAGCACGATCACCAGGGCTTGATCACGCAAGAAGAAGAAGAGCTCTACATCAATCATCACCTCCCTCGAGCTCAGGCCCACGAGATCGTGTGCCACAGTCTTCATACCGGTGGCTGGATCTGGAGGAGATCGACAGCAAAGTGGAGGTTCTCCGTGCTATCAACTTGGACGTCGAGGTGAGGAGCAAGAGCTCGGCCGTTCTTGCGCATGGAAGCGACACTGTTCTTGGGATCGAGGTCGTCAGTGAGCTGAGCAGCCGGCAGGGATTGAACAGATGCGAGCTGGAATTCTACCTGCTGGCGAGGTCGTCCAAGCTTCCGTTTTTGCAGCTGGTGACTGATTTCAAGGGCGCCGTCGTGTTCTACCATCGGTTTCCACGCACAGGATCTATGAGCTGCGACACAATGTCGTAGGCCACCTTGAAGAAGCTCGTGAAGGTGATCGCGCCGAGCTTACCCCGCAATAGTTCGGAGTTTGAGATGGCTTGGTCCATTCTGGGCTGGAAACGCTTCGAAGACTCAGAGGATGAGTGGAAACGTTAGAAGAAAGCATAGAAGCTTTAAAGGTGTCTGAGACTTTCCTGTTCGAAACAAACCTCAGCCGAGAGAGAAAGTAAATGTGCTAGAAATGCGACAATCACACCACTGGAGCTGGAGAAAGATCTTCAAACGGGAAACAGGGAAGTGATGATGCTATGGAAGGCTGAGATGGAGAAGATAAGATGTGGTGGTCTTTCGAATTTCACCTCAATTGTTGATGGAATATAAACTAAATGAATGCTCTTGGATGTATACAAACAAATACAAACAAAGCAACAAATTCAGAAAAGAAAAACTGCCAGATCTTTGCTAGAGGTTTTTCCATAGGAAGCTCATGTCTTTAACATCAACTCCCATGGAATCGAAACATTTCCAGACTCCGAGGAGCAACAGCCTGCCGTCTTTGTTGGACAAGTTCGCCTGGCGAGTTTCTGCTTCGTTGTATACAGAGCGAATAGGAGTGGCAAGTCGGGCATTGTGGACTTCGAGCAAGAAGAATAATTTCCTCGATGCAATCGTCCGTGCTCCACTTATGGATGATAGGCAAGAACTTTTCTCATGTCTGCGACAATGAGCTGAAACGACGGCTACGTGTTTAGAGACGGATAATCAATTCACGTTATCTTACGTTGATCTTGCTCGCATCCAAATAATTGTGCGAGTTTTCTAAATTGCGGACAACGCTCGTCTTGAACTTGTGGTTGGGTATATGGACAGCTTCCCAGTCTTCGCATCTATAACTGTAGGAGACCACGTCGAAAGAAACTAGATTACGATTTGCTATGACACACAAGTTACGCATAGACAAACCTGGAAAGTTCGCAGGAATTTCAGGAAATCGTAGGAATTGACACAACTTGGCTTGTTTAGGACGCCCTGTGAGATATCAAGTGAAGACCAAGATATCTACCTGCATATTTCGATGCTAATCGTTCGACACTAGTCCCATTCACGTCGCTGATTGAAACAGTCCAATGTCAGCTAGAAAGAAATGAAATTCACGAACTTTATACTCTATATTCCCACCTGGAAGAATATTAGTTGGATAGACCCCAGCGAGCAAATGCTATGACCCCGGACACATTTTCGTTGAGAAATTCCAGCGGAAATCGTTGCTCTTGAGCAGCACCATTTAGACCAAAGAATCCTGCCAAGCACCGCGCTCTCGATGGAAATCGCCTGGCGCTGTAGCGGCGGCAGTCCCTAGTCCAATCCGAGATAAGAGAGGAGTAGAGGAGATTGCGGCATACCTTCAGCGAACTGGGCGCCACTGCTCAGCCTCGCCATGGCCTGGAACCCTAAATTTCCATTCCCGCCTAAGAAAATGGATAATGCAAGCATATTCTTTGCTCCCCCGCTAAACAAGATTAGCTAAAGCTTAAAATTGTTACGCTTTAATACAAAAAGTGGATGATGGGGAATATTCTTCTTTCTTCTACTCGTAACTCTGCGAGAAAGAGGCAAAAAGAAAAACAGTGAGAGCTAGCCGATGAAAACGATCAAACGAATAAACGAGAGAGTACTTACATTGCGCTACCTCTTCCCTCTGCCAAAAGATCGAAGCTTTGAACATCGCCACTCCAAAATCCCAGGAGATCGAAGAGAGCGCAGCTCCCAGCGACTCCAAATCCCCTCCCTCTGGCTGGGAATTCGCTCCAAGTCGCTCCCTTTCTAGCCTAGAATTCCTGTCGCAATGAGAAGAAACCAGAGGAGGAGCGCGCTGATGAACAACAAGCACGGGTAGCAATCCGCATCGTTCTCGTCCTCCACAACAGCGGATCGTCGTCGGGATCGTCGTAATCGTCGTCGGGTTCGTCGGCGGTCGCGGTCGCGCTTACGCTCGGATATTTCCTGCTGGTAGTCGCGTAATCGCTGCCGGAGCTCCTCGCGGTCGGTGCCATCGCTCCATCGCTCATCGAAATCGAATGCCTCGAGCGCGTGGCGGCACAGCGGGCAAGTCCATTCGGTACTGGCCGTGGAGCATGACCTGATCGATGGCGCGCTCTCCACCCATTCCACCAAGCACTCTAGACAAAACCAGTGGCCGCAGTCCGTGTGGACGTCCGAGATGCCGCTGGAACAGATTGGACAGGCCTCTCCTTCACCGTCGCCGCGATCGCCATCGCCATCGCCATCCCTAACATCCATAGCTGCCCGGCAAAGAAGCACAAATGCCCCGCTCGCAAGCTTATATGTTGGGATCGGACGGTCACGATGCGCTTGATCTGACGGCTGGAGAAACCCCAACGGTAAAGCAGTGGAGGGCGCGGATGAAAATGATCTGACGGCTGTTAATTTAGGGTTCCATTCTTCCATGGCGCGATGAAGGTATGACGCGAGAGTTTACAATGCCGCTACTCCTCTCTCAGCTCGAATTCTCATGGATTAGGAGTTGCCGCCGGTGTAAGCGTACAAATTCCATCGAGACCGGGGGCTGGGCTCTTCCTTCTGTCCACGAGTAGGCTGAAGCCTGAAGCTAGGTTTCTCGGGCTTGTTTTGTGGTAATTGGTGCTTGGCAGGATTCTTTGTCGCTGCAACCAGCTCGTGAGATTGTCGAAATGCCGCGGCCTTCGCAAGGAATTTCCCAAGGAAATTTCTGTGTCGCAATATCTTCTAGGTGGAGACATATAGTTCATGAATTTCTTTTCTTTGTAGCTCTGACAGTGGTGTGTTTCAATCAGCGACGTGAACGGGACAAGAGTCGAACGAAGTACATTCTTCCGTAGCCTGTGTTGCGATCATCGGAATATGCAGGTAGATATCTTGATATTTCTTCTTATGATTCCTAGAACTTGAGATTTTGCAGGGCTCTAGACGGTTGCATCGAAAACTGTTCTTTGACAACATTGACCCGTGAAACCAGTCTCTTATGGTAGAAACCATCTTCGTGTTCTACTAATTCTTCTTTTTCTCTTTTAATGCAGATCATGGTTTCATGCTTCGTGAACACCTCCCACTACGAAGAATATCTCTCTGTGAAGGTTAGTGTTTACTCTGCCACTGCTTACTTTTTTATGATTATGATTCTTCATGGCAGGAGTTTGCACCTGCGCAGCATGTATTTGCAGGTCCCGGCTGGTAGGCCATCTTTCAAGTCAGTCCTGCTCTCAAGTCAAGTGTTTTAAACTGAATCACAAAAAAAGTCTGCCTTAACCAGCTTCGATTTACCTCCTGCTTGGATCTCTCGCAGCTCTGATGAAGCAACTCCTTTTCAACCTTGATCCAGCTAAGTTCCTCGGACAGCTGTTGATACATATTTCCGACAGTCTGCAACATGAAAAAGAAGAAAATCTAGGTGAGAAGAATTAAGTACCTTGCAGAAAGCCTCCTTCTGGGGCACGATTTCAGGACTAGTGGAAAATTCTTGTTGTGAATCAATTTAATACTATTAATAAATTTTACACCAAACATGGAAGTATTTTTTTTTTTTATAATTTTTCTATCTTAATTATGTTGATTTGATTGTTGATTCAATCAACAAAGAATACTACCCTACGGATTTGTTTTGAAATTAAAAATACCACTACATTTAACTTTCTCCAATTCAATCTTCCAGAGCATTATAGATTCCTCCTTTCGCTTATCTTCTTCGGCCTGGAGATCCTGTTCAAGCTCGAGAGCAAAATAAATGTCCCCCTCCATTGCCTCTACCTACTCCTCCTGAGAATCCCCCTCAAGCACAAGATCCTCATTGTCCACATTCTTTTGGAGGATTTGGCTCGTTTCCCCATTGCCAATTTGAATTTTTGCCAACCCCTCCTTGTGTTCTGGCTGCTCCAAAACCTCCTCAAGCACAAGATCTAGCATCTCCTCATCATCCACATCCTCGAGATTTGACAATAGAATTTCAGTCATCTCTCTGTCACTCACTACAATTTCTGCCACCTCAGGGAACACAAGAGGGATGTGTTCCTCCTCGTCTGGGACTTCATTCTCCTCGACCAGTGCCATGATTCTAGCCACTTCCAGGTCATCCATGTCAAAATCTTCTATGTCTGCTGCCCCAGCTTTATCGGCCTGTTGACCACTCTGCTTCGCTTGACTTTCGTGGACTAGCAAACCCTTTCTCATCTTGTCTTCAACTGGAGTGTGCTTGAGTTTTTGTTCTCATGTGCCATGCTAACTTCCTCAGTGCTGCTTGATCTTGGCCACTTCATGTAGGTGGGTCTTGTTTTTCCACGATAGGTAAATTTTTTCTTGCACAGACTGCAGCAATATCTTGGCTGGCCGATGTCATTGTTAAAGTAGTCAAAGTTGCCACACTCACCTTAATTGCACTTTATACAAGTTGGGTGTTGCTGTTTCAAATACAGCTTCAACTCATCCACACTTCCAAACTGGAAGCCACTCTGCTAGGAGGATGAGAACCAAAACAATGGGTAGTTTTGGAGAAGATGGAGCTCCTTGTACACTTTGCTACTCTTGTTTAGCATCTTTGTTGACTTCTCTGCTGAAAGGACAAGTGAAAACCTAAAATATTTCCTTTTTTTACAAGCTTAAGGGATGAAATGTGTGTTTAAAGTTTTGGGTAAAGGGAGTTTTATTAAACCTCTTTTAATTTCCACCCTTATATCTAGATGCCTCCATTTCTTGTGGATGCTGAGACCTGCAAAAGAAGAGCATGTATCGAAAGAAGTAAAAGCAAAGAACTGATCTATAATGTAAAATCTTGTTGGAAAACTTGCTATCAGGATTCTTCAATAACTCGGAGACGTTGCTGACATTCGCAAAAGCGTTGTTGATGAGGCTCTTGAGTCTGCTTGTGTCCAAGTAAAAGATGTATCTGGGAACTCCTCCGGAGTAGGGATATTGATCTCGCATATCCATGATGTTCAAGCCAACTGCCTTGGTGCATCCTGCAGCGTCCAGGGCTCCATATACACATAGATTCCCTGTTTCGCAAACTCATGGTGATTGGATTCCACGTCAGAAACGCACTGGAGAATTGGTCCCAGACTCTCAATGTAAATGGAGGCACCATCGACGATAGTCCAGGTATCCAGCTGCTCCAACTGCAACACCATAGTTCTTGCGTCAGAATATGTTGACCTGAAGGCGGATGAGCTATTCAAACTTGACACTGAAGATGTTCCTGGGGCTGCAAGGCTGCGAGGCTCAAGGTTTGAGAATCAGATGAGCTTAAAATTTTGTAAAAGGTTTTTCACTTAAGCTTATTATATTTCCGTATTTCTCTTGAGATAATCAATGAGAAATAGTCTCCATTTCTTCTTTTCCCGATGATTTGTACAAGAAAATTCGTCTTCTTGAAAGAAATAGGAAAAAAAAGAAGAAGAACAGTGAGAGCTAGCCGAATAAAATGATCAAATGAGTACGTATATTGCGCTATCCGTCAAACATTTTTGGAGCGCACATGCGAAGTCGATGGATTCAGTGACGTCGTCCATCTCGCTACATGCTTTGGTTTGTGGGATTGGATTCCTTTGCCGGCTCCATGTCGCTGGCCATGACAATTCGACCGCTCTACAATCTCGTGAAGGAACATCCTCACCAATCATCCAGCATTGCATGCGAGTGAGCATCAACGTGCCATGCAGTTCATGCAACCGTTCCCATATTTCTGTGGACCTGATAAAGTATGTGGCATTGTTCCACGATGAAGAATTTTCGCCCGAAGAAATTTAAGAGCCCTTTTTCATGGTTGGCTCTGCCTCTAAGTCTTCCATTTTTTCTTTTCCGCAGTTTGCTGCCCAAGAAAAAATTGGTTCTTGCAAGAGAAAACTTGTAGGATTCTCAGGTAGCTCGTTTGGAGATTTTGAGAGAGTGTTGTCTTACTTTTCTTGTTTGAAAGCTTGTCCATGAACACAGGCGATGGAGATCTCAAAAAAAGTCTGGGCCTTCGAAGAACATATTGGAGGATTGTCTCGTGGCTTTGTATTCAGGTAGTACAGCTATTGTTTCCTGCAGCTTGATCAATCTTTTTGCAGCCATTTTTGCAGTCTTGGGGCAAATACGATTGGATGTATGGTGTGTATTTCTTCTTTGGCTTGGTTAGAGCTGACGAATAATCCGGCTGTAAAAGTGCAAAGGTGAGTAGATTTTTGGTTGTCATTCTGATTGATTCTCTTGCTGTACCAACGAGAAGTATAACTTCAACAAAAAGTTACAAAAATGCATACTTTTCTGCGAAGTATTCAAAGGACTCGTCTGCTACGTATCCAAATGGGGAATACATCCATGGTCTGTTGTACTTGCCTCGCGAGGAGTTTATGCTGCCCAACGTGAAAATGCGTGGCTCCGGTTTATGCGATCACTCGAAGCTCTTCGTTCAGAGCTTGATCCGAATCGTTAGTGCTCTAGCTTGGACCGAGAAGAAGTTTGCAACATTATCAATGCCAGGAAAAGATTCAAAGATGATCTCAAAGCTGCATTTCTTGGTAAGTATCCAGCTTCGTCTTTGAATGCTACTGATGAGGTCGATCATGTAGTATCTTGTTGCGATCTAAGAAGTAAGCAGCGGAAGATTGATGTCCTTCCCAGCAAATACCACAGTTGTTTTATTGCAAACAATCCATTCGTTCGACTGCTTGAGGAACTGGCGAATCCTATTGCTGGTGACAAGATTGGGACAATCCATGGATTCAGATGCTTTGCGTGCTGCCATGGAAGAGATTATTGACGTATCACTGGACGCTGCAGTGTGAGACTCGACAATTCTATTGAATTCATGCGTTTCCTTTTGTATCCCAAAAGGAGCATTAACTCCGGACCTTTACAAAATCACAAAACCCAATATTACAACGGCACCTCAGTTTATGAAGTGATAATGCGTTATTAACCAAAGTGGAACACCAAGGTTAGCTGGAGGCGATGATGATCATCTTGAGAGCTTACTAGTTGACGCTGAAATAAGTCTTATTCTTTCCACATTTTCCTTCATCTTTTCCGTCTTGTCTTAAATGTTTTTGCAGGACGCAGATGACTCTGATGAAACTCAAACCGAGCATGGCTTCTGGGTCTTGGTTCGTGACGGACGAGTTCAAGGATTAAGCAATCTTGTTACAGTTTTGAGAGTGGAGCGTACATTGAAGTTTGGAACGTTTAGCATGCTAACTCTTTAACCAGAATACTGCTACATCAAGCTGGAGCTTGTGTTTCCAAGAAGGATGGCAGTGCAAATATGAGAAGTGGTCGTTTTGCTCCAATCTTTCTGCAAGCTTGGGGCAACAACTGGATATATGTATTTTCTTTTCGGCATTGTCGAAGTGGGGAACAATCGAGTTGTGAAAGTGTGGAGGTGAGTATAACGTTTCTTTTCGCTGATCAAAGTTGCGATTTTTGCAATGAAACGATGAAACGAGTGCCATCCTTGAGCATTTTGTCGAAGTTCTCATCGCCCCTGCTAGGACTCATTGCTAGGACTCGAGTGCTACGTATCCAGACGGGGAGCACGTCCATGGGATGCTTTACGTGCCTCGAAAGGAGTTTACGCTGAGTTCCTGGATCTGGTTCTAGCGATCATACCAAGCTCTTCTTCCAGAGTTTGATCCGAATCGTTGCTGGAGATGGTGCTCTTGATTGGACTGAGAAGGATGTTCGCGAGATTATTGATAGCACGAAAGATGATCTCAAAGCTGGATTTTTTTCCGAAAATAATTGGTAGAACTTGATGGATCTGTTTATATTACAATGTGAATAGAAAATGATCGCTCGATATAGGACTTCAAAGCATTCGATTTTTCAAATAATAAACGGGGAAAGACAGAAAGGACAGTGGCATATTCTATAGAATATTTTGGAAATTAAATTTAAGTTTAGCGATTAGGATAAGGCCAAAGCATTTCGCGAGGAATCCCAGCCGTCCGTTGTCAACGAGCGCGCTTCCTTTGTATAAATAGCTAGCTAGGAGCTCTCTCGTGTGGAGAGAGCTCTAGGGTTTGTTCTTGCGATGGCCGCAGCTCATCTGGATGCCGATCTCTATCAACCTGCTCAAAGTCATCAGCCGACTTGCCACTCCTATTCGTTCTACCCAGAGAGTATTCGACGAAGTACAAACTCGCCAGACGCCTTACAGAAACGTGTCCAACGAAGATCGCAGGCCGTTGCTCCTCGTAGAGGCATCGCCAGTGGCAGCCGAGTCGGGGAATACGAAGCAGGAGGCGACAAACCACTGTCGCTCTTATCGAAGCAGCGAAACAAAGCATCTCCAAAGACAGCTCTAAAAGGTTTGGCTAAAGACATGAGCTTGATAGGTGCAGCATTCGACAAACCTCCAACAGTGAGCCAGCGACGAACAGAAAAGCAGGGAGACTGTAGAAAACACAAAGAAGCATTCAGGGAA